AACTTTTCCCCATAACTTTTAAGTACAGGAAGAGAATTATAGTGGCTTTGCTTTTTGTTACTAAACCATGATCTTTTTAAAACTTGTCTTCTGTCCTCATTTTCTTTATAAGTAGTACTTTTGACACCCTGAAAGTGGTAGAGAAAAGGAGTTGCTCATATTATTGAATAACTGTTATAGCCAAGGGCTCTACTGAGTAGATAGCCCATCTGTGCAGGCATGGAGATTAGAATTCTTTATTCACAATATAAAATGAGAAAGAGGGGCTAGGGATTTGGCTCAGTGGTTCCGTTGCCTGCCTCGAAAGTGCAAGGTCCTGAGTTCGATCCCCAGTACCAAAACAAATAAAAAAACTAAAAAGATTGTGGCTTCAACTCTGAAGGGAGTACTTTGTTGTTTAGACATAAAAGACACAGACACTAGAACTAGAGACCTGTTAGTTATCCCCTATTCTAGTTTTACAATTTGTAACCCACAGAGTTGTGTCAGAATCATTGAGCAGGATTTGGGAGTAAGTCTCCAATCCCACATCTTCCCAGACTACCCTGTCTTCACTTATGTGAAGCCTACTGGTTTTCTACATAACACCTTGAAGAAAAATTCTATACCACTATGATCATAAAATTGATTATAGACTGCGGGTGGTGGCACATGCTTGTAATCACAACTCTCAGAAGGCTGAGGTACTTCTAGGCCAGCCAGAACTACATAGGTCCTGTCTCAAAAAACAAAACACACACACACACACACACACACACACACACACACACACACAGAGGATTGATTTTAGAGAACATTTAAAAATAGATTTTACTCCAGAGATTGATTCAGAAGGTTTGGAGAGGAGCCCAGCTTATGTTTTCTAATCTGTCATGTGATCCTATTGATAGCCAGATTTGTGAACTGTGCATCTATTCAGATACCTTCATTTTATATTTAAAGAGATGAGTTCTACTTAGAGTCATTCATTATCAGAGCTGGTACCTAACTCCCAATACGTCTTTCAGTAGTACCTCATTAAATGTTGGTGGTGCATGCTTGGCCCTCTTTCATTTATGTTTCATATATATTATTTTATATTGCTATATTTATTATATATGTGCCTACATAGAACAACTTTTTACATATACATAAAGTATTCCCATTGTTTTATGTTTGTAATTTTTATTAGTGACTATTATATAGTAGCTATTCTGATTTTTTTTCTGATTATTTTTCTATTTGTAATTTCTACATATATAACCAAAATATGTCTGAATATTAGTTTTCTCAGAATGTAGCACAACTCTAAAAATGTTTACTCTAAAGTAGATGCTGGTTTTTAAAAGTACTATGTGGGGCCAGGGATTTAGCTCAGTGGTTCCGCTGACTGCCTCGCAAACACAAGGACCCGACTTCAATCCCTGGTACAAAAAAAAGAAAAAAAAAAGAAGTACTATGTGGACATGGTACAAAATAATGGTATATACTTTTCAAATTGTCAAGGAATATAAAGAAACTAATCTGTTGTATGTTAAAGGAGAGTAGAGAGACTTGGAATTTCAGTGCAATGTGTGAATCCTTCATATGTTTGAAGTGTCCCCAAAATTTTATCATGGTTGCAACAGTGTTACAGAAGATGGGCCTTTAAAAAATGGATTAATGCTCCTATATAAAGGACTTTGGGGTGTGTTTTGCTCTCTTGCCCTTCCACCTTCCACAATATGATTTTCTAACGTGAAAGCCCACCCCATGTACCGGAACCTCGATCTTCAAATCCCAGCCTCTAGGACTGTGAGAAATAAATGACTGTTATTTATAAATGATCCAGTCCCTAAAACCCTATTAAAGCACACAAACAGACTAAGATATTAGAATGGATTCTAGATCAGAGAAACAAATTGAATAGACTTTCTAATAGTATTATATTGTTTTTTTATTTTGGAAACTATAGTTATGTGAAATACGTTAGAAAATACTGTCAACTTAAAGTAATATCAAAACCAAAGCTACACCCCCAATGACATGTATTAAAGATTACAAAGAATTAGTTCACTTGATTCCTGCCTTAAATGTTTGCCTGATTTAAAGCTTCAGAGTAACTTTTAAAAACCTGAGTGGGGGTGTGGCTTGGTCGTAGAGAGCTTGCCTAGCATACTAAGGCCCTGGGTTGGATCCCTTTACTGCAAACAAAATCCCTGAGTGGAAGAGATGTGAAGTAACATTTTTCTCCTGAGTCATTTGCTTTGTAGTGACATGTTTCTCTGTCTAAGTATTAAATTCTAGATTCCCATTTTGAAACAGAGACATATTTACCAAAAATATGGTTTACTTTAGTATTATCATCTGTTAGAAAAAAGGAATGTATGTTAATTTTTTCATTATTACCTTTGTTAATCTACGTATTGCCAAATTGTGCTGCAATCATACTTTGTTGTTATTAATGATAGCATGCATTAAAGTGATAGCATACCTACTTGGTTTATCTAGAAATATTTTTAACTTTTGTTTTAATAACAAGTAGTCTTTACAAGTTGAGTCCTTCTATATAGCAGGAGTAGCCATCAGAAACTATTCTCAAAACATTAATTATAGCAGTATTTTCTGCTGTTAGTAAAGTTATCCATGCTCTAAAAACATTTACTAATTACTGTATGTAAAGTACCATTCTAGCCAGTAGGGACACAGTGATGAATAAGAACCATTAAATGATACTTCCAGGGAAACTGCAGTCCCATTCTAAGGATAATCCCTCTGTTTACAGTTATATTGTGGAGGGATGTCAGAAAACAAAAAGCATAAAATATTTGATGAAATATTTGGACAAATGTATACAGTAACAAAATATATTTCACATCTTAAACTGGATACAATAGTACTCTTCCTCAGTTTTTTAAATTTAGTTAGTGGCATTTTTATGTTACAGATTAAAAGTGACCCCAGCTTTCAAAGTAGAGATTCAGTGTTGCCAATTCAGGGTTATGATTACATGATCTGTCAAGTTCGTTACACACAAAGTTCTCGACTTCTGTGGTACAGTTCATAAATCCCAACTCTCCTTTGATTGTAATAGGTTTGGTCTTCTGCCTTGTAACACAGTAACACATTGTGCATGTGTTGATTGTCTGCCATCCTTTATTTACTCTCACTGTTAAATATTGCTTTAGAAAAAAATATTGCTTTAGGCACAGTATTTTGGATATTGAGTTGTGACTAGTTTCTTCGTCTATTTCAGAGGATCCAGAGGTGACTCTGGCTTAACAATAAACGTTACATATAAGGAACTTTTACTCTTATACCACAGTGCTTTCATTTTTTGACTCAGTGCTAAGTGGGAGGAAGGTTCTAAGAATATTAAAATAGTGCAAAGAAATATATAATAAGAATTGGAAGACATTTGTACCAGAAATGTTTTCAGATATTCTAAGAAAGATTTAATACAGCAAAATCTTGGCGATTTAGAACTTAAAAAGAATGAATCATTCCAGATAGAATACCAACTTTGAAATAAACTCTTCCGAAAGTACTGTTCATTTTGCAGTATTCTGTACATAGCTTAATTTTTTATTTATAGATCCATTCCATTGTAAAAAAAAAAAAACAATCGCTTTGTTAATGCTGCATTCGCAACTGTATGAGAAAGTATATTATAGATGCAACAAAAATTAGCAGAAAAATTAAAACAGTGAAAGCATTTTTTTTTTCTAAACCAGTAGCTTTACATGGTGGACCTTCCTGAAATTATGTTAAACTGATAGTGATTTGGGGGCCCTGGCCAGGTGAGGGATAGTAATAGTGTTGTCTTTAGAATTAGTAGCATATATGTCAGGTTTTTTATTTTTGGCATCTTTTTTACCAGCTGTGTAGTATTTTTGTGTCCTAAATTATGACATCCTAGTACTGTGCTACCTCTAATAGAAAATCTAAATATTTCTTTAAAAAGATCTCATTTAGGTGCCAGCACAGCCATTATCACCACATGTTGTTAGTCTATTTTGCCCAGACAATAAAGCCCTGGGGATTGAAAAGTAGTTTTGATACATTACAAAGAAAAAAGGTATTTCCTTTGTAGAGTTCCATGAATTCCCCCTTTTATTACTGTCTTCTGTCTTCAGTAAGCAAAGAGATTTCCACATTATATTTTGAAGAGACCACAAATGAGACACATCAAGTTATGTAAAGGAGTAAAGAAAACGTTCTTGATGGGTTCTTTTTTTTTCTTTTCATTAGAGGAATTTTGTTTAGCTTTGTTTATTTTGTTAAGCCAAGATTGTTTCTATTTACTTTGAAGATTGTCAATAGGTTATAGCAAAATCACTGAAAACATAAAATTAATCTTTAATTTGGAATAAAATTTAAATTTAAAAGAAAAGTGTGAATAGCAGCATGCTTTTTATTAGTGAATCGGTGTCAACAAAAATAAATCAGATTGCCTGACTCTTTAAGACAGGAATCCTTGAGTCAGATTCTTAGTTTCTTCTGATTAAAATTTAAACTGGTGTTTTAGTATCTCTTAACACTTTTTGAGATATACTTGGACACTACTAAAAATCAACCAAAGCTGCCATCTGTTTTATTGAACATCTTTTCAAATACTGATCTAATTCTTGATGATATCTAATCACATTTTTGTTTTACATTCTTAAAATATGTATGGATTTACTGCGTGTACTTGTCACCGTTAATAGCCATACAGTACCATTTTAACTAATTTTGGTCAGTAGGTACAGTGGGCTGTTTTCTCCACTTCAGTTTCATTAACGTCAATCCTAGGTAAGTACAGTAATTAAGAAAGAATGAATACTTTCACATATAACAACAGAATTTTTAGCAGAATTGATTGTAACCCTCAGGTTTCTGTTTTGGGTGATACATTGTGACATTTTAATTTTCTCTACGTCTACATTTCCTGTTCAGAGGAAAATCCATTTGGTTCACTAAGGATTCTGAAGAGGCAGCAGATTATTTTTTTTACAGTTTTGATTCCTATTGATTGTTGTTGGATTTCTTTCTTGGAATAGATGGGGGAAAAAAGAATCAAGTGATGATTCATGGAATTGAACCAATGTTGGAAACACCTCTTCAATGGCTGAGTGAACATCTGAGCTACCCAGATAATTTTCTTCATATTAGTGTCATCCCCCAGCCAACAGATTGAAGGACCAGCTCTTGGCCGGGATAGAGCTACCCCGAAACATGATTTACAGAGCATGTCAACCTTTGCTTCAGTTAGGTTTGGTGGAAGCAACCTGACCAGAGACACTTTGCTGCTGCAAGCCAAGCAAGAAAGAGATTCCATGTCAGATAAGGCAATTGGGCTGCTCTTACTCTGCATCACCACTGCTTTCCTCCACTGCCGTCATTAAACCTCAGCCACAATGAGAAAGACTCAACAGGACCACTGCAAGGCTTCTGTTTTCTTGTAAAATATAATGAAGCTGAAACCTTTGGCCTAAGAAGAAAAAGGAAATATGTGCCACTCAGTTTATATTTCTGCTTAACAAATAAACAGGGGTATTTCCTAAGATGACCATGGTTGAACTTTAGCTCAAGAGAATGGAAACGCTGGTTTAATTTTCAAGAGAATTAGACTTAAGAAAGTAAAAGAGAAATTCTGTTATCAATAACTTGCAGTAATTTTTTGTAAAAGATCAAGTTACAGTAAACCCATCTTTCCTTAATGAAATTTTCCTATGTTTACAGTCTGTCTATTGGTATGCAAACAATCTTGTAACTTTGATAATGAACAGTAAGAGATTTTTAAATAAAGCCTCTAAATAATGTTTTGTCATTTAATAGCATACGATTTTATCGCTTTTCAAGTACTTTCTGACTCCCATACAGTAAATCACTTTTTATTCTGTTACTGTTTATCATTAGAATGGGATGGATACAGGGCATAGGTAACTGTCTCAGGAGCTGTTGTAGAATTTATTGCTGTCCATTTTAAAATCTGTGTTCTCTACACACTAAAGTTATAATGTTAACTGTTTGCCTTTGTTGCTTTGTCACTATAAACCTGTCAAACCATGATATGCTAAGCATCTGAATAATTTTGCATTTTTTAAGACTATTTTCTTTCTAATCTATTTTTCCATTGGCTCCAGGACTAGTTTTTCACCTTGGTCTCCTGGAAGTCACTTTTTGAAGTCTAAAAACTATCTATTTCTGACTGCAGTAGCTTTTCCTTAACTGTATCAAAAATATCCAGAAGGTACTGGAGTTCTTATTCATTTTAAGGAAAGTTTGCTACATTTACATTAACAGGCTGCTGGGATTCTACCAGTTGTATTTGTGCGCTACATTTGATTTCTTGTGAACTTGCTTACTGTCCATGTTGAATGTCAACCCATATGAGTATGCTAAATGACTTATAGTATCATACAATTATTGTTTTAGATTCCACAATAAAAATGAATGTTTTTCTTATAAAAAAAAACATTATATGAATGTTCAAGTAAGATCCTGCTAGTATTCATTGCTTCTGTTTATTTTTCATTTTCTGATTTTTTTTTACTGATTGATAACAAATTTATTCATAGAGTGACATAAAGTTGGCCAAAGTTATATCCTGAAATGGAAATTAGAAGTTACAATCAGAAAGTAAAATAGGGTATTAATCACAAAAATAGAAGCAAGCAGGAAAAAAACCTGGCCAATATAAATGAAATGTGCTATTTTAGTAAAGGCAGGGAAAAAATAGCAATGTTTGAGTTACATAAGGGAAAAAGTCCACTGACTTGTACTTTTGCAGAAGAGATTGGTCTGAATATGATTGTTCACATTCAAAGTGTTTATTGGTCTATTCAGTTTGGGGATTTTCCCCCTTGATGTTTTGACGGACTGAATTGAGTGTCAATGAGCAGAAGGATCAAAATACCAGGGAGTGCTAAACTGTGATGAAGTGTGGTAAGAATAGTAAACCAAAGTAGTCTTCCACAGAAGAGATCAGAGGAAGATATTTGCAGTGGACTGAGATGAGCTGCCGACCTTTACTTCCAGATTTGAAAGAAAATTTTATCAAGTCATTGCCCATTTTTTAACTTACTGTTTTTTATGATACCAGTGTCCTAATATTTTTACCCTTCTGTAATCCCAGGTAAGTCAGATCTCCAATGTCCCAGAGGAAGAATAAAACCAGAAATCAGGGCTGCCTTAAATATTTTTTTCTCTTTATTTGAACATTTAAATTTTATGGTTTATTAAAAAATTAAGTAGATTGTTGTATCTGTCTTTTATTTCTAGAAATTGAAAATGGGATTTATATAAAACAAGTTACCTTTGGGGAAATAAAATTTCCTTCATCTTAAACCTAGTAACAATTTTCTCATGGACATAAAAAGGATGAAGAATAAAGGAAAGTCTGTGAATGAATAGGAGAGGGCTACAGATCTCCAAGTTGATGTCATGTTCTTCATGGAATGATGTACAGACTGTATTCCACTCAGCGTGAGGGGACTCCATAACTTATAATGATTATCTTTATGGGCTATTTTTACAATAGACTATTCTAGGTAACCTTTTCTTCCTTTTAATCTTCAGAAACTTAGTTCATGTGGATTGTACCAGAAAATGACATTCTCACTTTTTATTTATCATACTATTGATATTTATGTGTGAGGTAAGTGGGTTACATGTGCTATGTAATGGCACTAGTTTAAATAACAGTGTAAAATCTTGGCATGTGATGGGGATAAAATTAAATGTGACTATATTTAGGAATATTTAGACCAGGGCTGGGGATTTAGCTCAGACCATTCATAGATAATCACTAGGATGGAGTCTTTCACAATACCTACTTGTCTCTTTCAGTTCTGTCATTTTCTTAGGTGCTTTGTAAATATGTTTGTCACCTGGTCTGAAAGTATTAATTCCAGGAGTGGGTAGGAAGAAGAGAGAGGGGCATGATTTTTCAGATGATTTGAGGTTAAATGACACTTTGTAATTACAGTTGCTCTTTTGACTTATGATGGTACAAAAGTGATAGGTATTCAGAAGGAACTGCATTTCAGTTTGGTTTTTTTTGTTTGTTTGTTTATTTGTTTGTTTTTTGTACCAGGAATTGAACTCAAGCCCTTATGCTTGGGAGGCAGGCGACAGAACCATTGAGCCAAATCTCCAGCCCTGAATGTTGGATTTTAATTTCAGATCATTTTGTTGCTAGCAGTATGCAGTAGGATTCTCTGTCAAGTCAGGCAGCAGCAGAGATCTGCATCGCACACTCAGCCAAGCAATCTGAAGGTAAACAGTTGGTACACTGCAACATACTATATTGCAAAGCTGTGATGTTTTGTAAATTAGATGTATTAAATGCATTTTTAACTTAATAGCATTTTCAGTTTACCCATCTAAGTCAAGGAGCATTTTGTATAAGAATTTATTTATTGTATAGCTTTATTTACCAAAGGATCCTTCAGATTTCTTCAAATATGAAATACAAATTCTCTAAACTTACTAGCAGATGTACTACTATACTATAGAATCCAGTAGGCACAACATAGTAATCATAGGAAGAATTTTTAGATTGTTTTTAGATAGTTCATTAAGTACTTAGATTTCTAAAAACAACTATTTTTGTTAACCAGGATGTGTTAGAGTGATAAACATAAAGATGAGTAAGGATGTAGAGATGCCAGTGTAATTTGGCACATCAATTGACTTCTCTAAAAATCATTAATTTGACTTTTCTTCTGTAGCCTCTTTACACCCATACCACAAGGATAAAGTACAACTACACCTTTTCCTGTGTTTTTCCCATTTCTTAATGGAGGTTCTGCTGCACAGTTTGTGCTTTGGAAATACATATGAAAAAAATAAATGGTTAATGTCATTTTTAGTTACCCTTATATTTCCCTATTAAAATTACCAGCTATAAAAATAGGAAGGAGCTTGTCATTTAGAAATCAGTATACAAAGTTCAGTTGCTCAGGCTGGCACCACTGATCAAGATGTGCTTACTCAAATCGGCTACTTTCAGTAGGAACCACTGTGAACCAGATCCTTGCGTCAGTCCACATGCATTTTAATTGTAGTATAGACCGCAACATATATCTTCTGTTTCAACATCACTCTAAGCAGCCCCTCAAGATGAAGCTGTTTTCACTAAGCATCTGGAGGTATTTATTAATTCTGACCTTTTCACAAATGAGTGGTTGTGTCTTACTGTTGCTTCTAAAACTTCTGAAAATGAGCTATTTTGAAAATGAGCAGCATTTCCCAAACTTTGTGAATTACAATATTTTTCCCCACTAGTATCACAGCATCCTACTGAATTCCAGCTTGTGAAATGCTACATTAAATCATTAAATCCGATTTAGAATTTATATCATAAATCATTCCCTTTCTAGCACCTTTGGCAATTTGAAAGAAGCTCTGAAGCTTCTGACTCATCTCCAAACAAAACATTTCTTTGTCTAGATGTGTCCCTTTTTGTCAGTGTGACTACTGAAGTTCATTTACTAAGTATATGCTGATACTGATAGATTGGAGAAAAAAACCATTGCAGTCTTAAGGTATGAAAATTAATAGGAATCAGATGTGAATATTTGCAGTCAGCAAGTCACCATGAAGATAGCTGAGAACCACAAACTGAAATGTGGCATTCTATGAATTTAATCACCAAGAGCCCCAGATAGAGCACGGCTAGAGTCAGAGGGGCCAGCACACCGGTGGGTGGATCTCTGGCACTGGCCCATGAAACAGGTGTTTCTGATCTACCTAGATACTGAACTTGCTTGAGATACCAAGACTGCTGTTTTATGTTGTTTAGTGCATATTTTCCAAATATGTTGCTGAAAACTTGTATCTAAATTATTTTGATGTTGCTATTGCTTGATTATAGAGTTTTATGTTTCTTTAACACAAATGATAACTTAATGATATATAAACAGTATTTGACCCCTATGTTTTTGTGTAGGCTTAGGGAAAATTTTCATCCTATCAGCATTTTTTTAATATACCGTCTTAACCATTTTGATCATTTCTAGTACCTATATTTCTATAGCTTCTTCTACAATTGTTTTTAAATTCATTATCATTTAATATGAAAATAGCAACCTAACCTAATAGCTGTGACATACTGTAATGATGCCAGTGTTCAAGTATAGAATACATAGTGAGTGGTGGCCTCTGCCTATATCACCAGACCCTGGAGCAGACTTGAAAGGTGAGGCAGAAAATCATCTAGGGATAAATGCCAAGTAATTTTTGGACTGGAAAATACATAAGATATTGAAAAAGATATATGTATGTATTATACATATGTGCCAGATGGTTA